TGTCGCAAGTTCAGTAGCTAAAATTCCTCTGGTTCCAGGGGTCCAAAGTGTTAAATGCAGGTGTTTGTGCCGAGCTGTCAGTCAACGTTTGCAACGGGGAAAAGATGGAGGGACAGCTAGTCTGCAACGTGACGCGGCTGTCGCCATATTATGGCAGACCCTGAATCACAGCTGTGTATGATAGTCCCTACGAGACGGTCCGACCGCATTTTGCTCGACCAGTCCACCCTGTTTCGGAGGTCGATAAAGCGGTATATACGCCGTCGCTTAACCAATGGACACTGGTGCGAGCGGTCGTGATTGGCTATTGATACCTGAGACGTAAGGCGGTAAATTCTTTCAGGACGTGGGCTAATGTGCATGTGTCGTAGGCGATCGACGTTCCCCACAACCTGCCACGAATGCCTGAAGTCGGAGAATTCGAAGCGCGGGTAGCGCCGAAAGGATCAGTGATGTGCGAGCATCAGCCGATTGATTGATGCCAAATCCACGGCTTCACCGGTTACTCGAGGAGGAATTTCTTATCTGAATATTTGAAGGTATAGGAAGGGCATTGTGCATGTCAGGAGCGACACTAAGGTTGGGCCTTCTTGCGGTCCGCTACGACCCTAGCGCCGGCAGCACAACGGCGTTACCCCCGCTTAGGGGCCTTGGACGCCTGTCCTTACAAGACACATGCCTGTCGACACCTCGTGAGCCAACCTTGGACCAAGTCACGATGCTTCTGTTTCTTTCAAACATTCCGAAATTCTGCGACCTCTTCACGGGCCGAATCGTAAAAGTTGCCCTCGCTCGGCGACTGACGTGTATGTGTTTTTGATCATCTGACCAGATAGATGAATGGCCGGGTATATACCTAGGTAGAGCCGCTTGCAGGCGCACGTGAAAGCGAGCTCGGTTTTTACCAGGACACCTTGGACGGACTACCAGTCGATCGGTCGTAGGCAGATCGACGCGCAAGGAGATCTCGCTGTTCGTGCCCGTGCTTAGGAAGGTGCTTTTTCTCACAGACATGGTTCGCTGGACCCATGGCAGTATAGTAAACTTGGACTTTGCCCCAGGCCCCTGGACGAGTGCGCCATAGTGATCTACTCTCGCCGCACTATGTACCCACATCTGTGCCGTACCTCAAAAGCCACAGCTCTGAAGAAGGCAACATTCGCGATGCCTTCAGCTACAGCCCAAGAAACAGACGCCTCAACAAATCTCTCGGTCTTCAATCTGGTACCACACTTGGGGCCAATGGTAGCCAGCGTTCAATCAAGATCGAAGTCGAAGTCTGGCTCGTGGCTTACCGGCTCTATGGGTGTCGGAGGAAGGGCTGCCCTGTACGGAAGACAGCCCGTACTCTCGCGGTCCAGAAACGATAGTAATCAATCGTGACCGCACGGATGGGGTTAGAATGATCATCAACAGCGTTCTTCCAGGCGTGTAACAAGGGAGCGAGGAGCGACTACACCACAGGTGCACCATGAGCATGCGCAGGAATAGGCCACAACGAACAGAATAACTCGAAGATCCTGAAGTGGCGCTTGTGTATTTGCCGACAGTCGCTAGATCGTATAGCCGTCTGCTTTAGCAAGCCATACCGACAGCTTCTATGAACAGCAGCGCTTCAGCGCTTCTCAACAGACAGCGGAAGAACATCGTCGGTAGATGAGCACCAACATGCTTCCCGTGTGGGCAATCAAGTACCTAGGAATATCAGAGATCTGTTAAGTTCTCCTGCCAGATCGTGCAGATATCGGAAGCAGGGACGCGGTGGATGCCATGGCGTACGGAATTTTAGAGAAAGTCAGACCGGAAGGCATAGTCGACTCCGCGTATATATAAGCTTCACATTCCATCGATCATAAGCTCATCCTCATAGCCTTGTCTCAGGCTGCGTCATACAGTCTTCTTCCTTTACCGTATCATACGTCAAACTTAAGATGCATATCTTCATTCTCTCCGCTGTCACGTCGTCCCTCTTCGCACTTGCCTACGGCGCTAGAAGTGCCGTCCAAGGCACCGGATCGACCACTCGTCAATGGTCTTGCTGCAAGAACTCCTGCTCTTGGCCCGGCAAAGCTCTTGTGGATAAGCCAGTTCTAACTTGCGACGCAAGCGACAATCTGCTCGACAATTACAACAGGCGCGACGGCTGCGAAAGCGGCGGTGGCTCATATGCCTGCTCGGACCTCAGTCCGTGGGCTGCAAGTAACGATCTGGCGTATGGCTTCGCCGCAGTCAATCTCGCTGCTTCAAACGAATCTGCGTGGTGTTGCTCTTGCTACTCGTATGTTCCTTTAATTTGATGCCCGAGCAGTGACTGACCGACTCTAGTCTGACGTTTACTTCCGGCCCAGTCAACGGAAAGAAGATGATCGTCCAGGTCACGAATACCGGATCTGACTTAGGTGAAGATCAGTTCAACATTGCCATCCCTGGTGGTGGCGAAGGTTCCACCCAAGGATGCACGAAGCAATATGGCGGCGCCGACGTCTGGGGTCAAGACTATGGAGGCGTAGCGCATCGCGACGACTGCGACGCCCTCCCTTCTGCGCTGCAAGCCGGCTGCTACTGGCGTTTTGACTGGTTTCGGGGAGCTGATAACCCGTCTGTCAATTGGGAGAAGGTCAAGTGCCCTGAAGCTTTGTCCGGCGTATCTGGATGCCGCCGTAATGATGACCCGATTCCAGGCCAGAATACTCCATCGCCGACGCCTACGACTTCTGCCCCAATATCGTCTGGTACTGTGCAACCGGGTGGTCAATGTGGCGGGAAGTCTTACAAAGGCCCCACCCGATGCGTAGGGGGCACCGTCTGTACCTACGTCGACGAGAATTCGTACTATTGTCTTGCGGACCCAGCTAACACAAGAACAACTCCAACGACTACAACCCCTGCTAGTGCCGCACCTACCATCGGTCTACCGTATGACCAATGCGGCGGGAATGGTTGGACTGGTCCCAGGACATGCAAGGACTCGGTGTGCGTGAGAGTCGATGAATGTGAGTCGCGCTGTTTCGATCATGTCATGCATGCCACACCGAATCTCGTACTGACCTATTGAAGATTACTCGCAATGTCAGCCACCGGTCTCATCTCAAAGATCCACCAGCACGCGAACTCAGACAACTGCTAGACCTACATCCACTACAGCTGCTCAACCAGCACCACCATTCACTCGCACCAGGCGCACGACCACGACCAGACCCGCGCCACCAGCTGCTACGGGCCCAGTACAACTCTATGATCAGTGCGGTGGGCAGACATGGCAAGGCTCGACAATTTGCAACCAGGGGCTGGTCTGTTTCAAGGTCGACGAGTACTATTCGCAGTGTCAGAAACCAACCTAGAGAAGTGGAAGTAAACAACATTAGTGTGATGGATCAAAGGCGTTTGTGTTGTTGCTGATAGAGAAGTATCTTCGATCGTACATGTAAGAATTGGTTGGATGTGGAAGTCATAGCAAGCCGGAATACAATGCGATTTTGTCGGACATCAGAAGCGTATCACCCTCGTCCTCCTTGCTCTTGAACTAACTCATAGCTTCGCCTTAACCCCAAAACTCTTCTGCACAGCCTCAACCCCCCTCTTCGCAACATCCTCATCCTGGCTCGGCAGTCCCGTACTACACCCCACAGCCCCAACAACAACCCCATCCTTCACAATCGGGACACCACCCGCAATCGTCATGAATCTGCCCCCATTGCTGTGGTTGATGCCATACGCCGGCCCACCAGGATACACATTGTCTTTGTAAACAGAGGTAGGCGCGCGATGACCTGCAGCTGTGAAAGCCTTGTCGATGGCGATGTTGATGGATGTGAGTTTTGCGCCTTCCATGCGGGCGAATGCTAAGAGATGGCATGCGTTGTCCATGATGGCGATGTTCATTGGTACGTTGATTTCTTTGGAGCGCTGCTCGGCGGCGGCGAGGGCGATGCGCGCGCCATCGAGGGTTAGCGTTGGGATGGATTTTGTGCTCATGATGAATATTGGTAGAGAGGTTTGATAGTCTGATGGTAGCAACGCGCTGCTGGACGCGATGTTATGGTGCTGATGATGGACCTCGGATATTGCAGGATAATGACGTAGGGGTGCTTTGATTGGCCCGTGTTGCGGAAGCGCTTGCTTTCGCGCGGGTCCGCTTCAGAGAAGACAACATCAGCTCACAATGTTCATTAATCATACCTGCTCTCGCATTTATCCTTTGACAGGCCTCCGATACCTTTGCGACTGATGTCATCAGGTTCTATCGCACAACCTGGACTGGTGTTGAGACCACCGAATTCCACACGACAAGCCTCGGAGAAATGAGCAATGCCGAATTCGGGAGCATGCTATCACGGTGACCTGCGAAGACGATAGCCCCATCAACGAGCTTGCTCGGACTATCTTATTCAGAAAATATTCGTCGATGGGTGAAATTTAAGGCTGCCCGGCCATATCTCGTTGTCCTTTTGTTCTGTCATCTGCTCACATCTCGCGGTTCCCTATATCCAAATACTTCATTCTCGTTTCTTTCAAGGATTTCTGGAAGCAGGAACAGACATCCTTTCATTTTCTCATGTCTTGGCAAAAAAATTGTAGGAGTTCAGGGTAGCATCAGTGTCGCCAATGCGAAATTCAACATTGAACGCGTACCTCTACGGGGCGCCATTGATAGGGTGTATTCTCGCCCTCGAAAATGCGTTGGAAAGTCAACCTGGTAGTTTTCAGACACGGACTACGCATTGCTATGGCTTCCTTTCACTCAATGGCGATGGGCAGCATCGGTCCTAGGCGGCCACTGGGCGACATTCACGTGTCTTTTCCACCTTCACTTATCAAACTGCCTAATACGCGAATATGGGTCCGTGTTTACCAGTGCGTCATGTGATACTCACGACACGATTTGCAGTGCCTTTCTTCTCGACTCACCCAACTCTTGCCTCGTTTCACGGACGTCAATCCAGCGTCACGATACCGCGACAGCAACGGAAAAGTTTGCGACCTACTTCGCTATCACCACCATGAAGGAAGAAGATATCCTCGCGCGCCAATCCCGTCCGCAGAAGCACTCGATCTGGGTCCCCAAAAACCGCGACTGGCGATATGCAACCGGCGTTTTCCAACACGATGACAACGGAAACGCGCCCAACAATCGGTCGGCGTGGGATGAAATGGACTATGACTATCAGGTCGCCGAGCCGGGCAAGAGTAGAAGCCGGAGTGGTAGTGGTCCAAGCGATGGCAACGTCAAAGCAGTCGACGTAAACGCCGCGGTATCGGTTACCCCAAAAAGCGCAAGGAAGAGAGCCCTATCGAACATCCCGAAAGCGACCGTAAAGGTCCGAGCATTCAAGAGGAAGTCAAAAACTGCGAGGAAGAACGTATGGATGTCAGTAGCAAGGCGCCAGCGGATCAACCATGATGATGCAGAGGGCGAAAAGCCAGACTACCAGACCTATAGCTTGACCGTCAGGCTGCGCTTTTCAGGCAGGCTCATCATAGAAGATGCGCTTCCGACTGTATCAACACCAGGCCCACTGCATCTCCAACAGATACCAGACACACCTGCGAACTTCAGCATGCCCTTCGATCCTCATACCCCTGCCACAGCTCGTACCGCAGCCTCGCTCTACACACCGCACATGTCGCATTCGGGCGAATCCGTACACACATATCCTCCCTTCCAGCGTCCATGGGTAGACGAAACGAAAGACTTCAACATGCGGGCAGTCCGTGGCGTTCTACAAAAGCCTGGGTTGGTTGGAAAAGACCTCGGAGTTCACTACACATGGTACAACGACGCAGTCCCCGTAGACGCTTTGCTCCCCCCAGGAGTACCCTTATCCGCGAAAGAAATCATGGCCTACTACCCCCATCACGTGCGCTGGAAAAGCATGATGGTCCGACTAGCGAACAATGACTATCGCGGCGCGGATATCGTTGGTATGCAGGTATGTCTTCGTCTGTCTGATTGCCATGAGATAGTTTATAGCTGACAACGCACAGGCATTTTTCCGTGGCCCCCCAACAACGGACATCACAGCCGCAGTCATGAACCAGTTCCAACGCGACTCAGTCAAGAAGATCATCGAGGGTTTCAAGACGGACACTATCAATGGGAAGCACGATGCCAACCTACATACCGACCAGCTGGAGCCAGGCAGATACATCGCGGACAGACGCAGCGGCTATGTGTTGCCGACTTTCGGTGATCTCCTTGGTGGACTGAACCATCTACCGTCTGGGCTTGATGCACGCAGCCTGACAGAGTGTCTGAGCTGGTATCTCCATGTCCGTGACTCTTTTACACCGAAACTAGAGTTCAACGTATTGCATACCCAAGCTTTGATCCGTGCGCTTCGCATCCCGCTCAAGCGTTATGGACCGCAGAATCTGGACTGTAATGCACTCAAAGAGTGGAAAGAGAAGGGGAGATTTGAGGAGCGGAAGGTGTACTACGAGCCGGCCAGACCTACGTCGAGAGAAACAGGAGATACCGCGCAGAAGAGGTCGCAACTGCACATGAACCTAGACAACCACGAAGTCAAGCTCGAGTATCAACTCCAGATCCGCCACGTCCTCACATCCCCTTTCCTCGCCCTTCACCGCGTCATGGGCGAAGCGCTCAAGCTGGGTATCGAGAAAGCCGAGAACCGGATGACTGAGCGGGTGACCGCAGAGGGGAAGAAGATGTTGGAAGCCAAGTGGGCTGCCAGAGTAGCTGCCGATGCGGATCCGGAAAAACAGTCGGAGAACCTGGAAGTGCAACAACCACTTGTGATGGCGGAGAAGGCCGAACCGATCGTTCGAGGAGAAGAGAGCACTGAAAAGCCACATCGCGTTCCCCGAACGAGCCTTACGGCTGAAGCACTGCGTACTCTCGCTCCGGCACCGAGGAGAACATCTGCTTCGCAGCCACCCAATGGTGGGCCACTTGGTCACCATGCACCAACGGTACCATCAACGCAAGCATTTGGTAGACAGCCTCACGGAACGCCCGGACCCGTATACTTCGACCGGGCTTGGGGTACACCATCACCTTCTTCCGCATATGCGCCTCGCTCAGTGTATGGAAGGAGGGAATATGAGTCGCCCAGGCAGACAGATCAAAGGAATGTGATGCACCGTGGTGGATGGGGAGATAATCGTGGTGGATCATATCATCCGAGAGATCGGTAGGGCAACGCACTTGTAGGCGGGCGGGCGGGGATGGGATGAGGACGTCGTAGTCATATAATGATACCGAAATCCATATTAACATGACTTTCAGCAAATCTGTGCTAGAATTTCGGGTTCAGAAAGCGATTGAAAACTTTGAATAGTTGTCAGGAGAGTATAGAGTGAGGTAGGCGTACCCCGCACGTCTGAACGTAGGCAGCAGCCATTACTGTGCCGCTTTACATCGCGACTAATCATCATCTCCAGCCTTCAGATACGATGCACTTACTCTTCACCCACCGGAGTATCGTTGATTCGATTAATCGGGCGACATGTTCAAAATATTGTCTGTCATCGCTGGTGTAATAGCAATCCGGCTTGCCATCTCTTACGCCCAGGCCATCGCAGTTGAGCTCCGGGAAAAGCCCACGTCAAAGTTGCCAGTAGTCGGTATTTCGCTTACTGCAAATCATGCGACAGCAGCAGTTCGATGGCCGGACGGAAGTTTTGAGAACCTGGGTCGAGTAGAGGCATCGAAGGCATATGTGAAGATGATGCGACGTCTCTCCTTGCCTTCTTCGACGCATCTAACGTGGGTCACGGCGTTCCTGTACTTATGCATACAAGTACTGACCATGTATATAATAGCGAACCATACGGCAGCATGGAAGACTTGTGGAATGACGCCCCACGAAGAGCCTGGCGAAGTGCACGAAAGAAGCTCGGTCTGGCCGCCTCTGCCGACGTAGCAGTATTAGCCAAGATGCTAAAAGCAACGGCGAGAATGGCGGAAAGTGAACTTGGATCTCCCGTATCGGCGATACAGAGCTTCCCTGCTTTGCTTGCTTTATACCAGAAGACATCAAGGATGCCGCGGAGCACGCAGGTTTGCGTATGCTGACGACTGATTCCGGGCTACAATTAAACCAGCTCATCGCTGCGTATGCCGGCCATGGGATGGGCCTCTCTGAGAGCGGTTCCGAATGTCAAACATCAGCCGGATTCCCTGGGTGCCACACAGTCATCGTGGAATATACCGAGGATGCTATCTTACTCGATGGTCGACCGCTGGATCGCGCTCACGATATCGCGAACTACGAAGATGATATACGAACAAGTTTCGATCTTGGCAGCCGAAGCTCGGCAACGGAGGAGCAAGTACGCGATTTCGTTCTAGAGTATCTGCGTAAACTGTACATTGGTTACACGAAGAGGCCCTGGGTCTTTCCTGAAGAAATCACTGTCATAATGACGGGAAGTCGAGATAGCGTCGGTCGTGAAGAGATTCGGATGGCAATCGCAGATGCTTTCAGCTTATTTGGAACGCGGGCCAAGATGCTGTATTCTGACCCTGAATACGTAGCAGCGAGGGGCGCGGCTGAGATCGCATGGCGAGCGTTGCTAGAAGCGGGGAAAAAGAAAGAGAAGATAGAATTGTGAATGGATACGTGCGACGACATGCAATCGTTCTTGTAAACCTACAGCCTCACAGTCAGCGAGTCACGAATTCTCCTTTTCGCACCATGCATGCGAATACGTCTGTGCCACCAAGTTGTCAAGATCGTGCTGACCAGGAAGACCCTCGTAGTACGCAACGCCACTTAGCAGATCACCCGAGACCGGAATCAACAGTTTTGCGAAAGAGTTGCCGGAATGGGTAGGTTGGGATCTGAAACTGCACGTTTTGGCGAGTTGGTGATCTCTTCGCTTGGATGAATCGGAACCAAAAAACTGTGTTGTGGGACCGGAACCTGGCATGTAAGACTGGGAACACGTGGATTAATGATAATCAGTAGTCAATTGGTGAACGGATAAGTGTGTAGAGATCATCTGCTGCGCGGAATGCCTCGAGTCAGAAGAGCTGCGGTTGCTTTTTCTGAGATGTTGTCGAATCGTGGGTTGTCTTGGAGAAGACGCTAAGGCGTGTCGGAAACGTGGAGAGCTTACTTCTTGGTACCCCGCTGGCTCATTCGAAGCCTATCTGGAATACTGGAATGATTATCGCGTGTCTGCGAATACTGTTGTTGGTCTAGCGATGTGAGGAGATCTGTAATAGTGATCTGCACAGGGGGTTCGGGCTGGGCACCTCAACGATGACGAAGGCTAGGATGCCGTCGCCAATTCGGCCCTCGCCCGCGCCTGCTTTCCTAGTCGCACGCCCGCCACGCGCTCGTGGCTGCCTCTCCTTATGCAAAGTAGTCGCGACTCTTACTAGCTTCTTAACTTAATGTATGTTGTTTAGTGGTTTATGTATTTACTCCCACCCGACTGTGACTTGAAGGAGCGCACCTCCGCGGCCAGAACGAGATAGGAGAGGTCCAATGCCCGACCAGCAGCGCCGCTCATGGCACCAGCCTGACGTTACTAATCTGCCCCCCAACTCGTACACTGCCCAGAGACTGGTATGCATGGCTGCAGACTATCGTACGCATGTCGCAAGCTAAGAGGAGTAGGAACATGCCACGCCCGAACATCTGCATCTCACGACGAGACGCTACTTCATCGGTCCTATCCCCACGGCATGGCTGACCAAGCACCGTTCCGATTGGTAAGACATATATCTGCAGGAACTGCCTATGCGACATGTACTGACTTCGTACTTTCAGGTACAAGCACCACCTACGAATCAATTACTCGACGCGTACGGCGACCTTCTCCTCAGACCCGCGTGAGGCGCGCCAACGACGACTGAGCGGCCTCGAAGGCCCCAGCTCCTCTGCCCTCTTCCAGCACAGCTTCCCCCAGCCCGAAGAACTTCAAGCAGAGGATGAGGAAGGAGCGCAAGAGCTCGAGGCTAGCGGGGCCAATGGCGCGGCGGATGCGACTGCAGCGACTCCACCCGCCTTGCAAGTCCCGCGCGCTTCAGACCACAAGAGCGATGTCATGGACGATGACGAAAACGACGAGTTCGTAGATGCGCCCTCGGAGCCGGAAGACGACGACATCGAACGCGTTCCCACCAACGAACGGACAGTCCGCCGATCGAGTACGGACAAGACGTATATTACCGCGTCCTCGATACCCGCAGACGAAGATGATGGCGAAGACAAACAAGGATCGGACGAAAGGCCGCTGCAGGAGCAACAACAGCACGCACAGGCAAGTGGCTTACAAGTTCCTTCAGGCCAAGGGTGGGCAGGATCGACGTCACTAGGCAAACGCCCACTGTCGAATGTAGAGAGCCTTGGGAGTCCTGCATCAGCTACCGGAGCAGCCTCTGTAGATGCAAACTCCACATCGTCTTTGCTGCGTAAGGCTGACATGAACAAGGCACCGGCCTCGGCTGATGTCGATTCGAAACCGCCTGCGAAGGGTATAATGGCAAGAGTCAGGAGAAGATCAGGCATGATGTCTTCTTCCGAGCAGCCCCAAGAGACAGATCCTGCCACGGGAGATTTGACGCGCAAGAAGTCGAATCTGCGGAACCTTGTGAAATTCGACATCCCGGAGGACTCCCGACGTGCCACGATCCAGCTCAAGGCGAAGAAGGCGCAAATGACTGTTCAGCGAGCTGGGACCAAGATAAGACGACAGAAGATCAAAGATGGGCTGGTCGTCAAGATGGAACGCATGCTTGTGCGAGTGGATGCCGCCGCAGAAGTTCCCGAAGACTTTGATGAAAACGTCAACCAAAGGGTCGTCTCCCGCGTTAAGGATAAATGGCGGGAGTACATGGTCGTCTGTCGCCACAGCCATACCAATGACGCAGAATTTCTGCTGCAGCTCTACCAGACCCGGGTACGTTTCTCCCGCGATTTCATGTGCGTCAAGCTACTAACTTCGTTCCCAGGTCATCCCGGAAATTGAGAATGCAGGAGCAAGCAAGAAGGCCGCCTACGAAGTTCCGCTAGGGAGGAAGACCTGCAAGGTCAATCTTTACTCATCGTTGGACAAGTCAATGGTCGTATCCTCACCAGGTTCACGCGAGACACTCATCTTTATCATGCAAGCCAGAACTGCGTCCAATGCAGTAGAGTGGTATACCTTTCTCCGGAACGTCCTTGGATGGCAGCGTGCTTCTGAGCTCCAAATCAGCATACCGGACATGAGCTTGAGCATACGGATCGCCAACCCATTCGAGAAATTAGAGGCATCGCAAAACAAAGTCCAAGATGCAGAGAACACCGAGGAGGCTCTGCTGAGGACTATGCAAGAGGAACAAGCGGTTGCTCAAGATCTGATCAGGCGCTGCTTGGATCAACTGCAGGATGCACCGGAGTGGGCTGACGTGCTGGAATCGTGGATCAAGGACCAGCGCATAGGTCTCGCCTGGAAGCGCTATGATCGACTTGAGTGGATACATGGAGCAAACGAGCGGAAGATGTACGGCACGATAGCTATGCTGAAGTCGCACGAACTGGAACTGAGGCCCAAGACACACTATCCTACAACTGCAGTGACAAGGAAGAAGCACAAGACCTTGACCGAGCCGGTTCCAGTCGAAGGCTTCCTCATCAGACTGACAGGGCAGCGAGGACGAGCAAAGCGACTAGGCCTCATGTACCACAAGCAACTCTACTTCGCCAGCCACGACCAGTATCTCGTCTTTTCACGGCCAACGAAAGTCACCCCACCTCCGCCTCCGAGACTACCTGCGTCCGGGAACGCCAACGTACCGACAGCGCAAGCGGTCAAAGACGCGGTGCCAGAGAGCTGGGCTGTCAACCCTTATGGCCTCCAAGATGGGCAGATTGAGTGGCTGATGGAGGGTCACTCAGGCACGACGGAAGCTAGGCGGTTGCATGATGAAGATGCAGCAGATGAAGCTGCCCGCAAAGAGCAGAACCTGCTCAACTGCGACGGCTACATCAGTCTGGCAGACGTCGTCAAAGTCCGCAAAGCCCAGTTGGGCGCCAGTCCCGCTGATGAAGACCTGGAAGAAGGCTCGGATGTGGACTTTGACGAGGAGGTCGACGACTCTATGCGCAATGACGGAGCGACGACTGATCTCGACATCGATCGCACTCTCGAGCTGGTCATGAAGAATGGCCTCATCATCCGCTTACAGGTTGGTATCCTTCCACGCATGTTTGAACCTTTAACTGACACAACGTCCAGGCCGCAGACAAGGCTCATCGGAAAGAGTGGACACAACACCTCCGCGCTCTCGCCAAGTACTGGAAACATCGCACCGCATCCGATATTGCCCTCTATAAAGCCACACGTAGTCGCAACCTCAGCGCCCTTAAGATTGACGAAGAGGCAGAAGCACACGTTGGGCAGTTTGCGAGGAAATGGGAGGTAACCCAATCATTTGCTTCACCAGAGCTCTATAACATGTGTGGTATCGCTTGTTGTCGCAGCGTTCATATGAGCGGAATGTTGTATCGCAAACCGCGCATACATGCGCCCTTCACACGATGTAGCGTTCTGCTGACTGCCGGTACACTGCTCATCTTCCGCGATGTCTTGCGAAGTAGGGTCGGCAAACAACTGGCGCACATCCACCACGAGCGCATCGCGAATCTCGATCTCAAGGACTGCTATGTCTACTCTGGTCTCCTCACAGAAAACGACCTCCTCTACCAGAACCAAACTTTCGATGCGAACAAACCAGGTCACCACGCCCTCCCACGCATATACCTCGAAGACGGCTGGACATCCACAGATGAGGACGTCATGACTACGTTTGTTATCTGGCATGGCAAAGCAAAGAGCTGGTTCCGCGCTGAGGAGGGTGCAGGCGGCGGGGAACAAGTCCGCAAAGAGGGCAAGCGCACGAAGCTCAAGAGGGTAGCTAAGCTTGGAAGTAAAGGCCGTAGCGTGGTCTTTAGGGCGCGATCGCGTGCAGAGCGGGACCATTGGGTACTCGCAATACAAAACGAGATCGAGCGAATCCAAGGCGATAACGCGGACTTCAGGCTCGAAGAGAGTGCTGAGAATGGGACGGCGAATGGGAACGCTACTCGGAGTAATACTAATACATAAGAGGTGGATGGTCAGCGTGCTTATGGAGGTCTGTGTTATACATTGGCGTATTGCTCGACAGGTGTACTGAGTCTTCAGCATTCAGGACCTAGCACGGCGGTGGAGGGTTTGAGCATGTACATCATCGCATGCTTGCTGTTGACAATTGACGACAGCCTTTGAGCTATATACATAGGTGCTCATAATGTAATACTATCGAAGTGTCCAAACTACCTATTTTGCCACACCCTTCTGACATATGGTGGTTCTTCATTCTTGGTTTGCACTATCTCACCTACACTGACGCCACCACCCGGTCGCGTGGTGTCGCTACGCCAACGCGATGGGTAAGTTCCCACGCGAACGCTTTCACATTCACACCCAAGGACAGCGGACGCGTTGCCTCTGCCTAATCGCCTCACCCGCACTGCAGCCTTGGCGCTATCAAAACACGCTCGGCCCACTCCCCACACAAACAAACGCCCGCCTCCGTAGATAAATAGAGCGATACCCCGCCCTCACCTTCTTCTAAC